CAAGCTTTGGGATCTATATAAGGAATATGGGGGCTAGGGTTTCGATCATCATATCCTCTCCTCTTGATATTTTGAGTTTCATTGGTGTTTTTAGGCATTTGAAGGTGGATAGAAGGTCTTATTGAACAAGGTACCTTTGTAAGTCTCCAAGCTCGCATATTTTTGGTTCATCGATTGTAGATCTAGGATATGAGCTTATTTCTCCATGTTGTGTTCATATGAGTGGTTGGTGTTAATAAATTTATCAACTTTATGAATCCTTGAGGTCCCATGAGTCTTATATATCTTAGATATGGACTTTTATGCTGATTAGATGCCATGCATGGGGTTTTGGGCACATTTCTCACCATTTTGACCTAACTTGGGGTGTGACATGCATGTACATAAAACAATGATTTTTATGGACCATTTGAGTGCTCAAAAGCTTCCTTGAAAGTATGAGTGTTTGTCTTAACGGAATAGGCACTTAATCCATTAAGATGTTTTGGCCAGTCTCCACAGCACAGTGGATAACTTGCCATGACGCGATAACAGATTTCATTTGCGTATGTTTTATCGTGTGGCTGCCACAACGCGGTAAGTGGTTGGCCAAGGCATGGTGGCTGACCATTGAGTTTGACCGTTGACTTTTTGATCAGGTTGACTTTTGGTCAAATTGTTAGTTTTAGATAGTAGACTAAGGTTTGGCCTCTTGTGTTTCCTTAGGTGGTGTGTAGCATCGACCTTACGATCTTTTGAGCCGTAGTGTAGTCTACTTCTATAGAGAGGTAAGTCTTCTCGCTATACTATGTAGGACACTAGGTGTCATTGTATGTTTGTTTGTCTTTGTGACTTGCATGAAAAACAATGGTTGCATCATGGCAGGAAAGACTATAGGAGGACTGTAGCAACAGAAGTAACAGTAAGACTATGGTTGGATGATAGTATTCACATGGCCGAAATAGGCCGTTGTGTAACAACCATAAAATCATGCCAAATTTAAACTTTTAAAAACATTTCAAATATATTAACCATTACAAAACTTGTTTCCAAAATATATCATATCAGAGTATCCCAGAAACAAAGTCATAAAAAGTGAGGAGTTGTACGATCACACCTTTGCCTTGCCACAATCCCCTGATGTACCTGAAACAATAAACTGAAACTGTAAGCCCGAAAGCTTAGTGAGTTCCCCCAAAATACCCTACCCACAACAATACACATATAATCATAAACAACATATTATGGGTCCAGTCAACCATCGGGTTGGAATACCCCAGGCCCACAACCAACAGGTTAGAATGCCAACATACTATGGGTCCAATCATCCTCGGGATGGAATACCCCAGGCCCACAACCAACA